GAAGGGAGGGAGGGACTGCTGCCATGTCAAAGTGTCATGAACAGAAATACATTTCCTATATTAACTTTTTAAATAAAAGCATCCAGATCTACCCCAAAGCCCACAAGAATATTCTGCTTAAGACAAAACACTGGTGGAAAAAGCAATCCATGATTTGCTGATTCCCTCACATTTTAGAAAGGCATGCTGTCATTCCTCCCTTTTTTTCCCCAAAATTTCTTACTGTAGTTTGGATGGAAGTTTATACAGCTAATTGATTTACCACTCAACGAGTCATACACATTGTTTCAAGACACTGATTGCAATTCCCGCAATGTAACAGCACTCATCTCACTTCCTCCTTGTATTTCCACTTCCATTCGTCCTTTCCTATCCCTTCCTGCCTTTTGAGCTCCTTCCCTGGACAATGGCTGTCCTTTTGATCTCAAACGGTTCATTGTTCAAAGGAGTGTGCACCTCCCTGCTGTTACTGTTCACTTTATACACCTGTCCACCGTTTGGCTGAAGGTTGAGTCATTGGGGTGAGTTCAGTTCCAGGCTTGAAGGGTGTCTAAGGGTCATAGTCTTGGGGTTCTACCAGTCTGTAATCAGACTAGTAAGTCTGGTCTTTATGGTTCTGAGTTATTTTCCACATTTTCTCCCACTCTATCTGAGCCCTTTCTTTTATGCTGGTCTTTGCTGCTTCTCCCTTTATTTTCCCCCCTCCTCAAGCTCAGACAGACACTAAGGCTATTTACAGAAGATTCAGGAAGGTTTACAACCCACTGGTGTCATAATGAGAATCAGAGAGGCCTAGAGAAGACCAGGAGATGACCGGGGAGAAGTCTGAGACCAGAGGGCACCAGTTAACCGGGAAGTTCTGAGGGAGCACCCGGCCCATCGTAACAGAAGGCTGAAATTAATGAAGATTCATGAGTAGCCTCATCTCTAGGAAGTTACATACTGATATGAGTATGGTGCAATTTCTCAGACTTAACTACTTGAATAGACTTTCTCACTCAAGGGCAGTCAACCTCATATGAAAAGGAGCTGGATGAAGGTATAGTCAAAAGCTTCTTGACAAGGTCTATGCGGACCTGGGATGCAGACTGTGACCAGAGTTAGGCACTGAGTTAGGAACCCAGGAGACAGCTATCAGAACCCACCTATGGCTGCCCCAGAGGCAGGGAGGTAGAGAGGGACCACATTTTTGTAGTTCTGCTTTCTTGGGAGGAGATGAGTGTCCACAGAGGAGGAAACAGTGGAAAGTCTACATTGTGAACTGTCAGATGGAAGCAACCATGTTTTTCATAACTCAGTCATCTCTATAGCAGTATGGTGTGCAATGTCCAGCCTGGTGACTTCTCAACAAAGAGAATGAATGAATAAATGATCATAGGTTCACCCTTCACCTTAGGCAGTATTACCAAAGGAAGGCACTAATGATGTAAGGATTGTGAAAATCCACAATCCTTGGTCATTAAGTTGGCATTTAAATGACATGCAATATTTAGATAACATCCAATATTAGCCACAATATACTAAAAACAATCACCAATTAAGTTATAAATTTAACGAGCAAGAGAGAGAAAGAGGACAAACTCCTGGGGTCTAGGCGTGCTGTCCCCAGGCTCCCTTTCCTGATTTGTGCCTAGTTCACTGCTCACATCTTTCTTGTTCTCCAAGTAGACTGGGGTTGGCAGCACATGGTGACTTAGCCCCGTATTATGTAAGGTACACAGTTCCCAGCCTGATCACCAGGCTAGCATCTCACCTAAAAACTAAGGTCCAGAGAGGTTTGAGGCCACAGCCAGTGGCTCTAGAAGCCAGGTTTCCATGCACAGGTTGTGCTTTATTTCATCCAGGAATTCATTGACTCATTCACTAACCACATCCCATCTGCTGACAGAGAGCCACGAGGAATCACTTGGAATCATACAGTTTCCTCCTCCAATAACACAAACCTTGGGGCAACGATGATCTGATCTCACTGAAGCGTCTTCATCATAATAGAAGTTCCAGCTAACAGGTACCCAGGGTTTCCTGCATGCTTCACCTGCATTAACCTGACTCCTGATAGTGGCCCTATGGGGCAAGTCCTATCATGATGCACATCTTACCAATGAGCAAACAGTACAGAAGTCATCTTGCTCACAGTTAGCAGGGCTGATTTGAACCTGAGAAAGGCTCCTGAGCCTGTGGGCTCGACCACCAAGCTACGCTGGTGACTTTGACATTCTTTTGCTTAGAAGGGATGCTCCTGTTGCTGTAATGGGCCCCCACTACACTACCAGCAGAATTGGGAGGTGGTGAGGGAAAGGGCTGCCAAGGACAAGCATAAGGGCACTGGGCTTCTGTCCAGCTCAGCCACCACCCAGCCGAGTGTACCTGGGCTGCGCTCCCTCCGCCTCTCTGACCTCAGTTTCCCCTTCCCGAAAATAAGCCTGGTACTGTCATGCCCTCCACTGTGGGAAGGCTCAAATGAATGAGGCTATGCCAGAGCCCCCAGAAGCCACCCGCTGGCAACAAACGCATGGTTTGGCTGCAGTGCCATGTTATTTCTGGGTATGTCTAATCTCCCTTGCCAAGCTGTCCACCTCCACCCGCTGCTGAAGGCCAGTGGGTTAGGAGTCCAGGCTCTGATATAAAATGGAACCAGGCTCATGCCACGAGGTGGCTGTGAGGATCAGATTGGATGACACAGGGACACAAACCATGGGGCTCGTAAGCTCTTACTAGTTCACAGGGGTCACTCAGACAGAGACATGCACGTGTGCTAAAGGGCAGGCTCCAAGGAGCCTGGGTTTGGAGAGTGGCCCACAGCACAAATCAAGTGGGATTCTCGGCTGATCCTGCAGAGCTGGGAGGAGGCCCGCGCAGAGTGGGAGGAACGGAGACCCAGGAGTCCCCAGAACATTTCTCTCTCTGCCGCCTCTAAAGACTGTGTGTCTGCTGCCCACGTTTACTCCATCTCGTCCACTGGCTTGGCTCTGAGTGGGGTGCAGTAGGGCATGTCTAAGGACCAGATGAGATACCAACTGCGACAACCCCTTGACCCCACAAGCAGCCTCCCCGGCCTCATCCACACAGCCTGGACACGGAGGGACAGCTGGTCATGGGAGGGGAGGGGCGCTGCCTTACACCCACTCAAGCTGAAAGACAATTAAGCATGGACAGGAGCAGGCAAAACAGACGAAGCAGAAACAGGAAGGCAGGCAGACATTTGACCTGGCAACTTGCTTTAGGCCTTGGTAGGCCAAGCCGAGTTCTCCATCTTCATTCAAATAGCCCCAATCCTCAGTCTTGCTAGAAATAAAGGACAGAAAATATAGGGCATCTGGTGTAGAGGAGAGAGACAGGCTGAAACCCCCAGAAAGTGAGATCAGCCTGGCCAGTGCTGGGAAATGAAACAAAGGCTTGCGACGTCCCATCTCCCCTTCCTCCTCGCCTGTCACCAGCACAGCTGGGGTCTGCCAGCATCATCTCCCCTCCACCCAGGCTCCAGTTACTATCTTGAACAGGGCGTTCATAGGGTCTCACATGGTACTCACCCACAATCACAGGTGGGAAAACACCACCCGAGAGAGCACCAACGGCTGACTCTGCTCTAGTAACTGAACCGCAGCGGGGACTGGCCTGAGCCCAGCAGGTACATTTATTGCTCTTACTGCCTGTGCTTCTCTTCCAGCTGAGTCACTCAGAAAAGAACCACTCTTTAAGGGCAAAGAAGCATTAGCCAACCTCAGCTCCCACCCCTAGACAGTCTTGCACAAAGAAATAGCTACTAATATCTGTGTGATGAGCAGGATGAGAGCTGAACAGTTTCACCCCAATGTCGGGACTGGGGTGCATGACTTCTGCTCACCTGGGAAGCCAGCAGGCTCCCACCAGCTCCAAGTTGCCAGGTATCTGCCTGATGCCAACAATGGCAGCTCCTGGAACTCAGGTGCTGCTCCTGCAGCCATGTACCTGCCACCCCTCCCACAACTCTGGGTACACAAGGGGGGATGGAGCACCCAGTGGGAATGGGTGGTGGAGGGTGGGCCCAGCCTTGACGGGGACTGCCCTGCCTCCGCTTCTAAAGTGCCTGTTACCAGGGACCTTCTCTTGCAGGCTGGGAGAGAAGGCTTCTCTCTCCAGCTTCCTGGCAGGGATGTGAAGCAGGACCTACATACACATGGCCTGACAAAGGCCAAGTGACACCCTTCCTCACTGCCCGTGGGAGAACAATCCACCCCCGAGAGAGATTCTGGTCTTGGTCGGCCGCTGTCAGGTCGTGTGTGGCTCTGTGGGTGCTGTTAGGTGGGAGGACAGCTGGCCAGGTGGGTGAATAATTAAGCCAGAGGGAATTATAAGAACTGGTCAAGCAAGGAAGCACCTGACCAGAGCCCATACCAAACTCCAGCACATAACCCTTACTTACAAAAGACCCCAGCCATTTCTTGCCCACTATGTTAATAAAGTGCTTCAACTCTGCTTCTTACCCCCATGCTAATAGGGTGCTTTAACCTTATTGGCTCCTGTAACACATACCCTGCTCTCAATCCGGTCAGCTGAGGAACAGGAAGAAAATCACTATAAAAAAACCCTTTCTTTCATCTGGGCAGCGTGACTTCTCTGGCCCTCTCAGGGACCCGTGAACCTCGCCCGGGCCCCTCTCAGGGACCCGTAAACCTCTCCTGGGAGCGCAGAATAAAAACTTCTCTTTAACCCCACTTTTGTGAGTCCTCTTCTGCTTACTGCGACCTTACAAGTACAACCACCTGTGACTTTGTTCTCTGGCTCAGCCTCACAGGGATGGTCCCTGGGCCTTCAGTGCTGACATGGGTTACTTCCTGGGCAATGCTGGTCACCTCTACACCAGGCCCTTCCCTGAACAATCTAAAGGGGAGGAGGAGGAGACAGCACCCATCTGGGTGTTACTCTGTGGCTTCTACTCCTGGCCCCTCTCCTGCCATCAACTCACTCTCCCTCCGGCTGGGCAGTGAGGGGGATTACTGGTTTTAAGTTTATCCTGGGGACCCCTCCTGTTTAAGATTCCTGCCCCTCAAATGCCTGGTGTTCACATGTCTACAGTGTGGAGAGCCCTCACCCAGACCTGGCCTCCCTACATGTACCTTTGGTAGATTTTGTCCCTGACTCCCTCTATGGTTAGCACTTAGATGTCCTGTGTGTCCCTTTGTCCCAGCAAAGCCAAAAGTGACCTGGGCTGTGTTGCAGGAGCTGATACTCAGCACCTTTCTCTCCTCAGGTTTATACTTGCATTTAGCATGGGCCTTTCAGTCATGAGTGCTTTATCCTAAGGAGAAGGACAAGCTGCGGCCCAGCTGCAGAGGAAGTCAGAACTGAAAGGGAACGCAGGGGCCCTTGCCTCCACTCATTTCATCTTCTGCACCTGGAGAGACCCTGAGATGGCAATTACTGGCCTAACATTGACACGTGGGCTGGAACGTGGTCTCCTGACCTTGGACTAATGCTCTCCCCCTGCCTCACCCTAGCTCTCCCTAAAGGGTCACCACATTCCCCATGACTGCAGACCCTCCTGAGTCCTGCCAGTGCAGAGGGTGATGTATGCGAACTGTGGAGATACACAATGAAGAATTAATCTCCACATCACCAGCCTCAGAGGAAAATACTCATCGAATTCTTAATCCTGCAACACACCAGCCATTAGGACAAAGGTAAAAGCAGAGAACCACGCAGCCCACTCACCCTACGGTGCTCGGGAAATCAGGTACCTGAGTGAAACCTAAAAACCAACCAACCCCAGGACCAGCCCTTTGTTCCTAGAGGAAACAGCCAAACACCCTGAACAAACTTCTCCAGCTTCTCCACTTACACCATATTGGACAAAGATCAGGGAGGGAGTGCTCCCTGGTGGTGTGAGAAGGAAAAAGCCAAACAACTCCACTTGAGTATTTAAAAAAAATAAATAAAATAAATGCTTCATATCACTTAAGGAGCCCTGGTGGTATACTGCTTAAGCACCCAGCTGCTAACTAAAAGGTTGGAGGTTCAAATTCACCAGCTGCTCTGTATGGGAAAAGATGTGGCAGTCTGCTTCCATAAAGATTACAGCCTTGGAAACCCTATGGGGCAGTTCTATTTTGTCCTATAGGGTTGTTACAGTGTTATAATGAGTTGCAATTGATTCCATGGCAATAGGATGGGTGATGTCTATTCATAAAGCAATTAATATTCATGGAGACCCTCCTGTGTATGTGTCACTGTGCTGAGCCCTGTTCCTAAAGAGACCATGCACACATGAACGAACCAGCAGCATTTTAGTCTTCTTGGACGGCAGGAGGCAGCAGGACACAGCCTCAGGAATGGCCAGGACACAGCCTCAGGAATGGCTGGAGAGGGGGCATTCCAAAGGCAGTGCCCAGCTGTGCCTCTCCTGGGCTGCAGGGACTTCCTCAACGAACTACACGTCCTGGGCCTCTCTTCTGTAAAATGAATGTGCTTGGCAGAGTTATCACAAAGGTTTCTTCTAGATCTTTAATTTACATAGCCTTATTAATTGTACAGGAGCTCTGGTGGTGTAGTGCCTAAGGCATTTGACTGCTAACCAGAAGGCTGGCGGTTCAAACTCACCAGCCGCTCCTCGGAAGGAAAGTTGGGCAATCTATTTCCATGGTGACACTGCCTTGGAAACCCAAGGAGGGGTCTCTGTGAGTCAGATCTGACTTGATGGCAGTGCGTTATGCTTTTTGCTGTCATTAATTGTATGAGGAGCTCTGGTGGCACAGTGCCCGAGGCATTTAATTGCTAACCAGAAGGTTGGCAGTTCAAACCCACCAGCTGCTCCACAGATGGAAGATGGGACAATATACTTCTATAAAGATTTACTACCTCAGAAACCCTATGAGGGTCACTATGAGCTGGAATTGACCCAATGGCAGTGAGTTTTGGTTTGATTAATTGTACAGATCACAAGCCAGAAAAGGCCTAGGATAATATTTATTCTCCTTCTGTGGAGACCTTGAAAGACTGAATCCAACAACCATCCCTCTTGCAGCTGCGGAAGGATCTACCTCCCTGTGCGTGAGGGGAGGAGACGAGGATTGCACCAGCCAGGAGATTGTCTGTTTCCTGTTTCCTGGTGCTCTGCGGGTACTTTACCTCTTTAGTTCACACCTGGACTTTCTACCCAATTGCCTGTCCTGCAGCAGCCGAGCCTCAAGGCCACATGAGCAGTAAAACCACGCAAACCTTGAGGTGTATGTTACAACCCCAGGTGTACCTCAAGCCGAGGGCCACAATAAAGCTGCTCTTTAAGCTGAGGGCCCCCTGCTGGAGAGGGGCCCCATGGAGGTTTCCTGGGATCTCAGGTGGCACAGTGTTTAAGGTGGGTGGTTTGATTCCACCAGCCACTCTGCAGAAGAAAGATAAAGCAGTCTGCTTCTGCAAGATTTACAGCCTTGGAAACCCAATGGGGTTGCTATGAATCGAAATCAGCTCCATGGGGGTCACCATGAGTCCGAAGCAGCTCCACGGCAGTGAGCTTGGTTTGGTTTGATGCTCCCTGCTGGAGAGGGGCTGCACGGAGGCTCCCTGGAATCCGAGGGAGAAGGGCCAGTGATGCACCATCATCTGCATCATCATCTCACTTTGGAGTCTACAATCTCGTAAGCTCAGAGGCCAGTGCCCAGTGGCACACTGTTCTTGGACCCAGACTTGGCCACACCCTTGCTCTAGTGTGTATACGTGAGGTGAGGTCAGCCTGCAGGCACCAGCCTTTCTGCTCTCCTCCCTCCTCTCCACCCCCTCCGATATATCCCTGACGACAGGGCTCAGGACAGGAGGCTCACACTGCCCCCACCCCTGCCGGTCCAGGTGGAGTGGGCAGAGATGGCAGCCTGAAGCCAAGGCCGGGCTGAGAACAGCCAGCCTTTTCCAGCAGCCGTCCTTGGGGCAAGGACTAACCCTCTCTTCATCTTAGTTTCCCCACACTTAAAATGGGGTTCTCTTAGCTGCCAAGATGTAAAAACAAGAAAGCTTCTTGAAAGCAGAAGTACTATATATAGTCCTATAGCTACACCCAGAGCAGGCCCTCAGTACAGCTGCTCCTGCCAAAGTTTAAAACAAGGGGAAGACACAGTGTGGAGATCAAAACAGAACTCTGTAAACTATGACACTCAGCAAGTGAAAGTTCTTGGGGGCCACAGATCCTTAGAGTGGCTGCTTTGGGGACGCCTGTAAACCTCCCACATATCTAAGTAAAATTCACCATTGTAAATTTGTTTTCCTAGAGGAAGGGCAGATTTCATCAAAATTTTAAAGGGTCCTACTCCTGCTCCCAT